GACATCTTGATATTAACTATAGTAGGATTCTTCTTCTTTAATATTCTTCCTTGAGTATTAATTAATTTCTATTCATATTTCATATTAATATTTTGAACATAACTTAAATGATCAACTAGTTTTGTTTCATATATTAATTATTACTAGAATCGATCGACGAACCGATGGTTAATCGTTGATGGTTTCACAAGTAAGTAACTTCGGTTAATTAATGCACGGTCGTGGTTAATAAACTTAAGAGGGATTAATTTTGTTGGTTAAACCGAAACCGTTGCGTTGAGGTTATCAATCTCAATTGATTTCATCAAGGAGTTAAGAGATTAAATGCTACTATCAAGTCGGTATATGGCAGTGTTCTATACTTGACTAATAGTAAGGGTTATTAATGAACGGTCGTTGTTAATAACTGATAAACATATAATTCACATGTTTATGTTTGTATTTTTAATTAGTTTTGATTGATTGTTACTTTGGAAATTACACACTTTTGGTGTAATAGTTTAGTTTGTAAAAATATTTGTAATTTGTTTAGATTAGGATTATTCTGAGCTTAGGACAGGTCAAAATCATCCAAAGAATCAAAGGATGGATCCTAAAGACCAAAGAATGTGCAAAAGGGAGAAGATCAAATAAAGATTTTGAAAATCGTTCAGTACTCGGTCGAGTATTGCCAATACTCGGTCGAGTATTGACCGGATACGCTAGTCAAAATCAAATCTTGGAGCAAAAGAACATGACTGAATATTTGATGGAAATCTGGTCTCATACTTGACCGAGTATTACTCAATACTAGGTCGAGTATGTCTATTTTTCACAATTTCCTGGAAATTTCCTCTCAAACTCGGTCCAGTATCCCCAATACTGGATCGAGTACAGAATCCTGCCACCTCCATTTTGCTATAAATACACCCCCTTTCCTTCACATTAAAATCATCCCTTCTTCCATACTCTTAAGCTCAGTTTAGAATAGCATTTCTTTATATTTTTCTAGCTATGTTTAGTCTCCAAATGAGGAGCTAAACTTCCAATTCTTGGTGTTTCTCTTGAAGTTTGTTGATTATTAAAGTTGTGAGTTATTTTCTTAAACTTCTTCCCTTGAATATTAATTATTAGTTCTTTCCTTAATACTATCTCTATATTAATGTTGGGGAGTGTTGTTAAGATGACAATTAGCTAACATCTTGACATTAGTTATAGTAGTATTTTCTTCCTCTATATTAATGTTGGGGAGTGTTGCTAAGATGACAATTAGTTAACATCTTGATATTAATTATAGTAGGATTCATATTCTTTAATAATATTCTTCCTTGAATATTAATTAGTTCCTATTCATATTTCATATTAATATTTTGAACATTACTTAAAGGATCAACTAGTTTTGTTTCATATATTAATTATTACTAGAAACGATCAACGAACTGATGGTTAATCATCTACTACAGGAATCATTCACACCATTAAACACTACACTCAGGCCTGGTCTCATTCATTGAAAGGGGTTAAAATCCACTCGGTTGATAAGATTTTGTATGAGGAGCATCTCATTCCCAGAGATTTTCGCAGCAAATCTTTTTCCATACAGATCTTAAAATGGAGCAAACCAAAAGGAAAGCTGAAATTAAATACAGATGCTCGCTACTTATCTGGGTCAGCAGCGGGAGGTGCGATTCTGAGAAATTGCACCGGCCATCTTCTTCGTGCGGTCAGCTTTGAGGTGGATGCTTCTTGAGCGCTTGAAGCGGAATTGAAGACGATATCTCAAGCTATTCAGTGGGCGATATGCACTGGCTATAGCGACTTTGAGGTGGAATCGGACTCAACTATGGCGCTGAAGCTTCTACTGGATCCTGAGGTCCGAAGGTGGAGAGATTTTATTCAGGAAACCTGACAGGCAGGGAATAGGAAAGGTTTATCCTTTCGACATGTTTATCGCGAGGTTAACGGTGCGGCTCATTTCTTGGCCCAATCACATTTGGGCCCAAAGCAGGAATTTTTTAGCCGAAATAGTTTACCTATTACGGCTAGACGGGCTTATTTTATGGATTTGTTTGGCATTGCCTCTTTTAGATTTCATTAAAGCGGTTTATTCAGCTTGTTTTTATTTACGAGGTTTTGGTCTAGCCCCCCTCGATTTTTGTAATACTCTCTATCTTTAATAAAATTCTGGTATCTGACTCCCGGCATTTACCCCACCGCTTTTGGTGGTTTTCCTTCCAGGATAAAAAAAATGCACGGTCGTGGTTAATAAACTGAAGAGGGATTAATTTTGTTGGTTAAACCGAAACCGTTGTGTTGAGGTTATCAATCTCAATTGATTTCATCAAAGAGTTTGAAAGATTAAATGCTACTATTAAATCGGTATAAGGTGTTGTTCTATATTTGATTAATAGTAAGGGTTATTAATGAACGGTCGTTGTTAATAACTACCCTCGATGAAGTTGATATACTCCCCGATTGAGTATTCGAGAGGGAATAAGTTATAGATATAACAATGATCGACTAAAATATATCAACAAGTGGAAAGTAGCAATGGCAAGTCCTTTTTATCTTTAAATTAAATCTCATATAAGTCGTTCATCTTAGTTTTTAATTTAATTAAATCATTCATCACCAAAACCCCCCTTTATTTACTAAGTTTCATAAAAAGAGAATTATTCATTTCCCTGTGGATACGAACTCTACTACGCTATACTACGTATAAGTGTTAGTATTAAAAATTATTTTGACACACCGTGATAAAGTGCTCGTCAAATTTGGCGCCGTTGCCGGGGAAAGGCAATTAATTTTTTTTTATTTTATTTTAAGAAAAAGAAAAAAAAAACGATTCAAGTATAAAGATTTCTATTTCTTCTGAGCTTTGTAGTATATGGTTAAATATCGTTCACTGAACGAAATTACCTACTAATCAAACCCCAAAATAGAACTAGCTCTCGAGCGGTTGAAAAATAAATTCTCAAACACCGGCTCGGGAGAATCCTCATTCTCAGTTTTTAATTTAATTAAATCATTCATCACCAAAACCCCCATTTATTTACTAAGTTTCATAAAAATAGAATTATTCCTTTCCCTGTGGATACAAACTCTACTACGCTATACTACGTATAAGTGCTAGTTCTCATTCTAGCGAGTCCGAAGAGCCAATAACTATGGCTCTTGAAACAAGAACGCTGAAGGAGCTCACAGCTCCGAACTTGAACCAACAACCGTTATGTATTACCTTCCCTACACTCAACGAGGGTAATACATATGAGCTTAAATCTGGGCTCATTCATCTACTTCCTTCATTCCATGGTCTACGAGGCGAGGACCCAAACAAACATCTCTCGGAATTCCATATTGTTTGCACAAGCATGTGCCCAAATGGAGTCACCGAGGAGCAGATCAAGTTGAGGGCCTTTCCGTTCTCCCTAAAAGATACCGCAAAAGATTGGTTATTCTATCTTCTTTCGGGAAGTATAGGTACATGGGCAGCCATGAAGAAAGCTTTCCTCGAAAGGTACTATCCTGCCTCTGTCTCCTCATCTCTCAAAAAGCAAATCAGCAATGTGGAGCAGAAAGATGATGAATTGTTCTACGAATATTGGGAACGATTCAAGAAACTTTGTGCGAGCTGTCCATACCACGGCTATTCGGAGCAAGACCTCATCCTATACTTCTATGATGGTCTTTGCAATGATGATAGGCGGATGATCAATGTCGCATGTGGAGGAGGAATTGTAAACAAAACCCCTTCTCAAGCTAGGAATCTTATCTCGGAGTTGGCCGAGAATTGTAGACACTATGACCGGCGGTCATCAAAAAGAGTTATGGCGGCAGAATCTAACACCTCGTTGGAAAGTCAAGTGGCCGGCTTGACTTCTTTGGTTAAAGATTTTCTCTTAAATCCAAGAACAATAGAAGTCAAGGTCTGCGTCATATGTTCAAGACAAGGGCATCTCACCGATTCTTGCCCAACACTACAAGAGGAGAATCCCGAACAAGTCAACGCATTGGGGTTCCAAGGTCAAAAGAGGTACGATCCGCATGACAACACATACAATCTAGGATGGAGAGATCATCCAAATTTAAGGTATGGAAATCCTCAACAACCAAATTCTTCTTCTCAACAATACAACCAACCCTCCCAAGGCCAAACTTTAAGCTCAAATATGTCCACTGAAGACATGATTCGAGCACTTACCATGAGTGTATCAACGATACAACAAAATGTGGCCCAATTTCAAGAAACGACTAAATCTAGCATTGAAAATTCGGAAAACCAAATGAGCCAAATTTCGAGTGTTGTGAGCCGGCTCGAGGCAAAAGATTCGGGTAGACTCCCCTCTCAAACGGAGAAAAACCCAAGACAACATGTTAATGCAATCATGTTGAGGAGTGGGATGACATTGAAAGAGGTGCATAAGGAAGAAGAGCAAGATAAAAAGGAGGTTGACCTTGAAGAAGACTTTCAACCGGAAGAGAGGACCATAAAAGCAAAGTTGCCACCAGTGTCCTCATATGAACCACTACCCCCATTCCCCGAAGCACTGAAGGAAACAAGGAAGCTGGAGAAAGATGGTGACATGTATGAGACTTTCGCCAAAGCAAATTAAAGGGAAAACAAAAGGTGGAGGTTAGTGAACGTGTCTCGGCGATCTTTCAAAAGAAACTTCCCGAGAAATGTAGCGATCCAGGCATGTTCACAATCCCATGCAAAATAGGGGATACTTTATTTCCGAAGGCCTTGTTGGATTTAGGGGCTTCGATCAATGTTATTCCATATTCGTTATACAAGTCTCTAAAACTTGGCCCAATGAATGAAACTGGTGTGGTAATCCAATTGGTGGATAGGTCTAGCACATACCCCAAGGGCATCGTAGAGGACGTACTTCGCAAATGTTGAAAATATGATTTTCCCCGTTGACTTCTACGTCCTTAAAATGGGAGATGACAATCAAACAACACCCATCCTCTTGGGTAGACCTTTTTTAAAAACCGCAAAAACAAAAATAGACGTGTCTAATGGTTCATTAACTTTAGAGTTTTTTTTTGTCCCAGAGGAAACCACATACAGTGGAGGAAGTGCCGGGGAACAATTCCTTAATTTATTAAAAAGAAATAGAATTAAAATAACAAGGGAAAGCTCTAAAAAGAAAATACAAAAGATATAGGAAAAGCTCTAGCAATTAAAATTTTTAGAAGGTATCCCAACCGAAGCTGAGATGGTCCTATTATATTTATTATGAAACTTTATCGCCTTTTGGAGATAAGGTTGGTAGACAGGTTCCTCCGGGTGAGAAGACTTGAAGCGTTTGAGAGCTTGAGCGAGTTTGTGTGGTGAGTCGAATCTCGCGTCTACCGGGTAAAGGAAATAATTAGATTCATTTTGAGGTTTTCGGGATTGACTTCTTGTAATCATGGGGTGTGAAGTCCAACCAACTTCATAGTATAATTGTTGGTCTTCTTGATTGTCAATTGGGAACTTGGATGAACTCTTCTTTAAGTTTCTTCTTGCCTTAACCTGCGTGAACCCATCCGGGCATTCCTCCTCTTCAGGGTGATTATCGGTTGGACCTGCATTCGATGGATCAAAAGAGAGTTCCTCATTTCCAGATTCCAAGGTTTGACCTAAGGAGTCAAAAGTGTTAACCAAATGGACCTCATATCAATTTTTAGCCTCAGAAGCGTCAATGGCAGCTTCTGGGACACCTTCATCATAGGCTTGATCATCACAGGCAACTTCATCACCGACCAATTCGTCAGTGACAACATTCTCACTGACTGCTTGAGTGGAAACCGTGGTAGAATTGGAGCCAGAGGTCATATTCCTTTCATCTTTATTGGGCTCGTCACTAGAGAGATCGTTGATAACAACTAGAAGACATACAGTAGGAGCACCTACTGCTTTAACAGAATCATGAGCGCTAATATCCGTGTTGGGCAATGCAATATCAATATTCATATATGCAGTGTTACTACCAGTGGTAACAATATTAGTTTTAGCATGATCAGACAAAACAGACTCAACCGAATCAGACAAAACTGGATCAGGCAAGGCAGTATCAGTATTTTTATCATTAGTGGTAACACCAGTGGCAACAATTTTAGTTCCAGCAGTGATAATGCTGGGCAGCTGCAAGTCTAGAGAAGTTGGGCCAAAAGAATTGAGTTCTTGGGTCTTTTCCTCAGTAGGAACAGAATCAGTAAAGTTCGGTTCTAAAGCATTTGTATCTGAAGACGGGATAACATCAGTAATATGCATCGTATTAGAAGATTTCATTGAACAAGATTTGGTTTCGTGGTCAAATCGAAAGCACTTGGAGCAATAACGAGGCAAATTTTCATATTTAACATGCTGAAAAAATCCCTGGTTTCCATTTTCAATCCATATTTTCTGGGGCAGAGGATTTGATACATTCAGCTCAATGCAAAGCCTTGCCAAAGAGGGACGTGAGAAATTTGCAATATGAGCATCTATAGAAAGAGGTCTGTCAAGCAAAATACCAATATAATACAGAGCTTTAAGATTGTGAAGATGGATTGGCAGACCTTCAAGAACCACCCAGACCGGGGCCAAAGGGGATTCAATATCAGGATTGAATTTAGGGGTCCAGCGAGTTACTTTCATAGCAAATCCGTAAAAATCCCATGAGTTACGAATCCAGAATCGTTGAAAATCCTCTTCAGCATTGAAATTGATTAACAAATGTTTATTGTCAATAAAACCTAAATGAAAGGGTTGGGAGAATCCAATTGCGTCAAAAGCTTTTCGAAGGGATAGTAAAGGCGGGCGACCATGATTGAAAGTACCAACCAGTGCATACTTGAAATTGGATGAAAGAGCGGTGATTTCATCTTCAGAGAAAGAGACAGAGGGGGCTCCCTTGAATCGTCCAAAAGGTTTCGAAGGAAGGTCGAGGTTCGCGAAAGAAGAAAAGAAGCGAGTTTGCGAGTAACGTGGACGGCCAGAGAGGGACTCCCTTACCGACGCAGCGAAGGATTTGTTGATGCCGACACCCTTTGCCGGCTGCATCGCATTGACTTAAGTAGATTATCTTTTATTTTGGTTATTGTAGCGTAGTAGGTCTCGGGATGTCACATTCTTTGAGCACATTTTTCATATCCTCATTAACTTTAGAGTTTGATGATAAAAAAGTAGAATTCAACATCTTTGATTCTACGAAAAAACAAATTAAAGACCAATCTCTTTGTTCTCTAAATGTTTTTTGAACCACAAACACCGAATGTTTTTGTTGAAAAAAGCTGAGAAAATCACACTTTTTGAAAAAGAAGAACAAATTGAGCGTAGGGAATTGTTCAAATTTTCAAAAAGAGAATGGATCCAACCTAGGGTTGAAGTGATAACAAGGAAGAAATCCCGGCCTTACTGGAGAAGGCCGAAAAAGAAAGATGAAACAAGGGATGTTCACGATCCCACATAAAAGAAAATAAAATAAAAATAACGTCGTGCCGTGACATTAAATCAAGCGCTTCTTGGGAAGCAACCCAAGTTTTAATTTTTATTTATTTATTTATTAAATTTGAATGTTTAAAATTGATTTTTCATTGAAATTTTGAGAAAATGGGAGAAAGGGAACTAACGATAATGATCGAGAAAGAAGAAAAGTGCAGGTTTTAAAGAAAAGGAAGCATACTCGGTCAAGTATCACACCATACTCGGTCGAGTATAGGTGAAAAATGGAAATACTTACTCGAGTATCTCACATACTCAACCGGCTCAAAAACGGAAAAATTTGAGATACCCAGTCAAGTATCTCCAAATACTCGATCGGGTATCAAGAGAAAGGAAAATCTCAAAGCTACTGCCTCCGGACACATATCCTACAGTTAGGGACATACCCGGTCGAGTCACATGAATACTCGACCGAGTTCGGATACCTGGGATGAAGAAAAATTAAATGGAGCCATACTCGGTCGAGTATCACCCAATACTCGGTTGAGTATTAGCGGAAGAACATGTCCAAAAGTCTATTGCCACCAGAAAACTTTAAGCATTAAAGTCCGTATTTAGACATGCATTTGATGCGTGTTGGGATCGGGTTTGATGTTTTTCCCTAGCTTTAAGGTGTTGGGTAGGAAGAGGGATCGGTGGATGGAGGAGATTGATGACTTCAGGAGGTTATGTTTTAGGAAAGGCATCCGCTTCAGACATATTTTGCGTGAGGTTAACGAGCCGGCCCATTTGCTTGCTCGATTTTCTTCAGCCCATTTTAGGCATTGGTCTGATCTGAATTTGTTACCTGGGCCTGTTAAGAGTGCTGCTACTTTAGATATGTTTGGTTTACCTTCTTTTAGATTTATGACTTAAAATGTATTATTTGTTGAAAGAGGTATTGGTATAGTCCCCCTCTTTTTGTTATCTTTCTGCTTCTTCAATAAAACCCGAAAAATGTCCCCCGGCATTTGTCCCACTGATTTTGGTGGTTTGCCTTCCGGGGGTTAAAAAAAAAGTCTCAATTTTAGCTCAAGTTATGTTTACCGGGCGTTGATTCGAGTTTTGTGTCATTTGGAGTCAAAATCAGGATTTTAGAGTTCGGCACTGGCGCTTGAGGAGAAATCAGGATGAGTTGAGAAGCATTTGAGATTGATTTGAGAGCTATGGAGGTCAGAGGGAGGTTTACGATGAAGATTTGATGACAAAAGAGCTCTAGGATTGGCTACGGGATCAAAAGAAGATGAATGGAGCTTGAAATCGGCGATCAGGATGACCTTCTGTCAATGGTTCAAGCATATCTCTTTGTAGAAATATTCAATATACACGATTCAAAGTTCATATGAAAGACAACTTCAAGTGATACAAATCATATAAAGACACCATTGCGAGAATCTGAGAGGAAGAAGGTGAAAACAGACGATGACGTCAGATGATCCCTGTTGCGATTTCAGAATGAGACCTTGTACCATTTTGATCATATCTCTTGATTAGTTGATTCAAATCCAAGTCCGCAAGTTGTGGTGGATATAAGACTTCATTATCTACACTTGCATGAAGAAAGCATTTCCAAATTCGGAATTTAAGTAGACACGGTCGTGCCCTCAAAGTTAGTCACGATCGTGCCTAAAGAAGAAATACGAGAAGCTACTGGAACCCAGGCACGGTCGTGCCTGGCAGGCACGCACGCCGTGCCTGAAGAAAAAAACGAGGAATAAGCTACTGGAGGCCAGGCACGCCGTACCTGCCCAAAATGCGCGTTTTTGTGCCGTAGGCACGGTCGCAGGCACGGTCGTGCCTGGCGCCGTGCCTGACTCCGTTTTGTACCAATTCAGCCCAAATTGCCTTGTTTTCTTTACATAACACCCCCATAACCTTAACAAGGGGGGATGGAACTTTAGAGAGAGGTTAAGGACGAGATTAGAGAGCTTTTTCAGCCAGGTTTTTCAATTCCTTAATATTCTTTGTAAATTCCTACTTTTTTATTAATGACAATTAATTCTATCCCAATTCTATTGATTCTTCAATTATGAATACGAAGTAGTTTTAATTAGGGATTTGGGGTTGATGAAGGGGTTAATCATGATGTATGGTTAGGTTCTTGATGGTGTAAATTGCATGAATGTCGTTTAATTTGTGTTTGAATAATTTAATTGATATGTTTTGTAACCTAGAATCGCCACTAGAATTACAATTGCATATAGAATAAATTAAGAGAGATCTAATTTGTTCTAGGACACTTTCACACACACTTAATCGTTCGCTAAGAGATTAGTAGCGATTAAGGGGCCGTAAGCTCGTTCGTCTTGGCAATAATTTAGGATCCTGTCGCATGAGAGATCAGCATGGTCCCCTAAATTATTGTACTCTACGCCGCGAGAGCGGTAAGAACTTAGTATTGATTAGCTAGGCTCAATTAAATTAAATTCATGTAATTAAGCCTGATCTGCCGGAAATCTGATTACCCCGGAATCAATCCCTGTTCCCTTCGTTGTTAATTAAGAAGAACCCAAATTTTTACTTTTAGTCATTTATTTGCAATTTTAGTTTTCTCAAGCAACCAAATCTTGCACGACCGCATTTGTTTTATTTATTCTTTATCGCTGATTTTAGTTAATTCTTAATTCCCTTTTATCATCCCTGTGGAGACGATACTCGTACTTTCACCGCTATATTACAATCTTTTTAAGTGCGAGAAAACTCACATCAGTTTTTGGCGCCGTTGCCGGGGACGGTGTCGGTCTTAAGGGTTAATTTTACTCAGCGATTCGTTTTCAGTTTTTCGTAGGATTTTTTTGAGCTAACCTTGCAGGTCAGCTCTGTTTATGCATACACGTTCTAACAGGGGAGAACCGCTAATCCCTCTTAACCTTGAGATTGAAAAGCTCGCCAGACAAAACCGCAAGGCTCAAAAGGAAAAGAATAACATGGACCACCAGTCTTCATCTGGAACCGCAGGGATGTCGGGTAACCCTAACCCCACATCTCAGCAAGATTTCTATGTGAACCCGTCACCCCAATCTTCACCACCAATTTCACCAAGAAACCCTCCAGGTTTTCAAAATTACCGCTGTTAATCCCAAAATACTAACAATCATACAACCATAGCAGTGATAAAGAAACAGATAGAAAGAAATCGACAAGATTGAACGCGAATCTGGTATACCGTATGAACCTGCCGCTACTCTCCCTGGAGAAGGAGAGCAGCGGCAACCCTAATTTCTCTCTATCTCGCCTCTACGCCTCTAAGCCTCTGTCTATCACTAGGGTTCCCGTAAGTTAGCCTCCTTTTATAGGAGAAGTTGGCTAACTTACGGGTTACAAGGAAGCCCACGGGCTAATACACATTTGTGGCCCGTATTACACGTTTAATTAATAACTACACAAATACAAAGATAACTAACTAGATTGATCACCATAAAATATTCCCAACAATCTCCCCTTTGGTGATCAATCGTGTTGAATCAGCATTGCAGCGCAGATATCTTTGTCTTTGTTGTTATTGAGCTTCCTTTGTCTTTGAACTTGACTTCTGAGGAAGGCTATCTGAAGAAATCCTTGCAATCTCCCCTTTGATGTCTTCTTGACAATTTGATCTTTGATGCCGGGGGTTGAGGGACCTTCAGTATCTTGCATGTAGTCCATGCCTTCCAGAAGTTGCTCTTGATCAGCTTGGATGAAGTCCGGTGACGCCTCTAGAATGAATATTCTTTGGTGAATAGGAGACGCCCATGGAATTCATCTTCAGGACACGAGTATTTGACCTCTGTCTCCTCCACAATGTAGTCTTTTTGACTATTTGGAATGAATGCATTTGAGGAGAACATGTCGGTGGCACAGCGGAACATAATGATTGTTGATTTGTGAGTGTAGCTGACCATTTGATTTGAGTTGTAGAGATAGCAGAGAAGGTGTTGATTTTTGTGACGGAGGAGTGAAGTGTCCCAGAATGATTTGTTCAGTGTTAACAGCATGTGGACCACTCTCCCCCTCATGACGATCCGATGATTCGGGACGTCATGCTTTTATTCTTTTATTCTGCGGAAATAAAAACATGAAAAACAAGCAGAATCTAAAAAAGATAACGTAGCCCCCCGGGGTCGTGAAGACGCCCGTTATCATCACTATAGAGATAAACTCTTAAGCAATGGCCTGAAAATGTTGGTGATTCTTATGTTGCAACAGCAGGACTTCCTTCCAATCATTAGTCTACATCTGCAATAGATGAGACCTATGGAAGTTCTCGCAAGTCTTGAAGACTAGCAACTGACTCTAAAATGTGTCTGTGTCCTAGAAAATTTCAAAACATTTGGGAAGTGAGTAACTAGACACGACGTGATCAATGAAAGTTCAGTGGCATGGGGCTGAGGCCACTGTAGTCAGTATTACTTGCCTCGGAAGGAGACAGTAATGAGAGATGCGGTTCCCCGTGAACTATGATTAAACACCTGTCTGTTGGGAGACAAGTGAGTGGTCTAGGGTAGGGTTGTGCATGCGCCGTTTGGACAAAATGCAGCGACTTCTACCCGGGATCTGAATAAATTCAGTCCTGAACCTATGGGGA